AGAATAGCACTGAAAGTAAAATACAGAGTATGCTAGAAATTACTCATGGTGTTCATGTATTTGTAAAACTACTCTGAATTATGGAATTGTCAGAGTTGGAAGAGACCTCTAGGGATCATCTAGTCCAACTTCCCTGCTAAAGGAGGATCCCCTAGAGCACATTACTCAAGACTGCATCCAGGGGGGTCTTGAATATCTCCGGAGATGGCGACTCCATAACCTCCCTGGGCAGTCTGTTCCAGTGCTTTGGCACCTTAACCATAAAGAAGTTTTTCCCCATATTTAAATGGAACTTCCTGTGTTCCAACTTATGCCCATTGCCCCTCATCCTGTCACTGGCAACTACTGAATGGAGTCTGGCTCCATCCTCCTTGCACCCACCCTTCAGATACTTTATAGGCATTAATAAGGTCTCCTCTCAGCCCTAGTTAAGCCTGAATCATACATACTTATAGAGGAGGGTGATCAAGATGGTAAGATTCCTCAAGAGCAAGACTGAAGAAAGGGTGCCTGAGGTCACTTGGTGTGTTCAGCTTGAAGAAGAGAAGGCTGAGGGTGACCCCATGGCAACCTACAACTTCCCCAAGGAAGGCCACAGAGGGGGAAGTGCTGATCTCCTCTCTTTGGTGACCAGTGATAGTGCATGAGGAAATGGAATGAAGCTGTGACAGGGGAAGTTCAGATTAGTGTAAGGAAAAGGTTCTTCATTGAGAGAGTGGTTGGTTGGTCATGGTCAAGGCCCCAAGCCTGTCAGAGTTGAAGGAGCATCTGCTTGATGCTCTTAGTCATGTGGTTTCGTTTCAGGCAGTCCTGTGAGAAGCAGAGAGTTGGACTCAGTGATCCTGATGGCTAATTTGCACCTTGAGATATTCTATGATTCCATCCTGAACTTTTGTGGAAGTTTTGACCCTCTCAGTTTAGTACATACAGAGATTAATACAATAAAAGAGGATGCATAAATCTGCTTCAACATAGTACTTCATTTTGTAAACAAAACATTTTAAAGTCTTCAACTGAAAGTAATTTGGTAACATGTCTTGTGTGTGATTAGGCCAAAAATCTATCTTCCTCATTATTCTGTTTCTGAGAGTAGCAGTTGTGTATGAAAGAGTACATGAGGGCAAGCATACAAATATACTTCTCATCCATGCCCCCCACAGCCTGCAGCTAATGGAGCCCCTGATCTTAATGTTTTGGATATAAGACTCCTTGATGGATTTTTCTTGCATTTTTTAGTGAACCCTTTTTGTCACTCACCCTGCATACACTTCTGGTCATCATTCAGGATGTTACTTATATAAATTCCCTGCAGTAAATTTTTCCAAGTCCTGCCTGAAGAGCATGCTATAGAATACTCAAATTATCAAAATGGCAATTATTTTTGCAAATACAGCTAACATTTTTGACTGGTGCTCTTTGTGCATCTCACATAGATTTTTCAGAGTTATTACATAGGTCTTCTGAAAAATCAGGTATCTTGAACAAAGAAATTAGCTATTGAGTATTATTTAGGCTCTGTTTACACAAGCAGTATGTGATAATGGAAATAAAAGAACTAAGCTGAAGTTTTAATAAGGAGCAAGCAGCCAGACTTTTAAAGTATTTAGATAATAAGCTACTTTTGTGGGTAGTGGGAATTGGCCACCATTCATTTTAAAAACTCATCCTGGAACAATTTTTCAGGCTCTTAAGACTAAGGATGGTCTTGAAATATGATATAAACTCCAAAGTCATTTACCAAGGGCAACGTTTTCTGAAGGACTTGTTTTTTCTGTCGATATATATGAGCTATTTGAATACTTTTTTTTGTGAACTCCAAAGAAAACACTAAAATACTTAGATTAATTTGTTGTAGCATTAAATATTTGAAAGTGAATACCTGAATGAAATTTCGCTGCTTTCTTAACTAACAGAAGTTGTATCCTTTCCCAAGAGACACTTAATAAGAAATACAGCATCTGGTGAGGATCTGAAGCTGGGCTTCAGGAAAATAGCTTTTTTTTTGAAAATAAGAAAATCAGTGGCAAAGGCTGTGGGATTTTTTATTTTTTATTTTTTTTTAAGGTAAAGAGAAAACTTTACTATATCATTAGCCATTGGTATGCTGTTGATCAAATGGCAGAAAAATAAAATCTGTAGCCTATTTGCACAAGCAAAGCATCACATTTTTTAAATACAGGCCTACAAGGAGAGTATGCAGGCATGTGAATACATGTATCAGTAAAAGGCATCTGTCCTCTGACTGCTGATTTAGTCTGTAGGGCTGTTCTGACTGCCTGGTCAACCATACTGGGAAAAAAAAGAAGAAAGAAACCTCTCAAAATGTAGACCCGTTGCACAGAAAAACTGCTTAGATGCTATAAGAATTAACATTTTATCGGTCAAAGGAAATAAAAAGAATATGACTTCTTTAATCTGCCAAATTGGAAATGGGATCCCTGTAAAACTCATATGGCGAGGGAAAAAACTGTCCGGGCATTCTGCATTTCACCTGCACTAGCAAAAGCTGAAGAATAAGAACAGAGGCAGAAACTTAACTGCTGGACCGAAGGCAAAGTCAGGTAAATGTGAGGGAAGGAATATCTGAACTTAAGGTGAAGCTCTTATAATGGGAAGAAAAAGAACTCATATCAATCAGTATTTTTATTTTAGTTTTGTATCTGGTGCTTATATAATGTAAAAACCTGGCAGTCCTATAAATATAAATAAATAGAGCATTCAAACAAGCATCAGTCTATTTTTCATGGCAGATATGTCTGATAAAAGTTGACCTGTACTGCCTATGAAGTGATACATTTATCTGAATAATGGATACTAGATTTCTTTGGCACAAGGCTTGCAGTGGGTGAGTTAATATGACTGTCAGAGCTCCCTTTATAATAGCTCAACATGAGGTCATTATCTTTTTCTCTTCCAGAATTTTTGCTGAAAGATAATAACCCACCAAATAACTTCAACTAGAAGCTTTGGTAAATGCATTTCTTAGTTTAGGAGTTTGGTTTTGTTACCTGGACCAAAAAAAGGGTTTAAAGAACTTATCTTCTTGAATATTTTTAAGTTTCATGCATGGTGTTCTAAGGATATTTTGTGAAGTATATCCAAAATTACAGTCTTTTATACTGTTTGTTTGAAGTGTTTTAAATAATTTATCTTGCATAATACAATGGCTTCATATACTGTAGCTCAGCAACGAGAAACATGTTCTCCATGCTAAACCTTAAAACCAGAAATGCAGACTCATGTAATTTTTCCTTTAGACCAAGCATCAAAATTGTAATTTTGATAAGTAATGTTTAAAAAACATGGTGTTTTTTTTTTTATCTGCTGAATGTCTTTTAATCTCCTGAATGTACTCTTTAAAAAAGTAGATGACAAAAATTACTATCTGCAGTAGCAAACAGTATGACAGAGTTATAAACTACATAATTATGTTGAAAAGTAAGCAATATTAATCTTCAAACTGTGTTGTATCTGCTACAGACATCCCATGACTGTGCTGGGATTTATCTTTCCAAATAAATTCTTCTGGGGGTACTTATGAAGTTTTCCTTGTTTGTATAAGAGTTTGGGATTTTTTGCCATCTGCTTCAGTGCTTCATCATCTAAGATGAGCTGAGCCCTCCCCAGTCTGTGTATGCATACTTTAAACAATTAGTCCCCTTGTATGGCCTTATTTTCGGGGAACTTTATACAAGACTGATGCAAACGGGGATCTTGGTTATGCGCAGAAATTGATAATTAAAGAAAAACCTATTCAAAGATTAAAGCTCAGTAATACAATACCTTCATAAAGAATAAAAAAATTTGTCCCAGCTTTTCCTTTCCCAACCTTCTGTTGTTCTCTTCTGTCAGTTGTATATTTGCCCCATGGTGGTGTACAGAACTTACTCTTTTTAGAAACCTCCAGTTCTGCTTCTAAAATTTGACCTCACATAATCATTGTACATCTCATGGACTCTCTTTTTCATTTCAGTGGCAAAAATCTGTCAGCTGAGTCCTTCAAATTCCCTAAACTGATTACAAGTCATATTTTGAAAGATGTTAGAAAATCAACATTGGTTTCTCTCCGCCTCCTGATGTCTTGTTTCTAGTCAGATTATAGAGTTGCCTTCTGGTAGTCTTGCTAGACAGGCATCTACTGATTTAGTAAATATAAAATTCTTAGATTTGATGTGTTAAATGCCTATCTTCTTCATGAAAGCTGATACGAAAGATGGGTTGGGTGCTCCTTAAGTCTATGTCTGACTCTCCTGGTATCAGAAAAGACCTGGTCTCATGATCATCCCTTCTGTATACATGTTAATTTTTTTCTGAGCTCCCCACTATAAGGAGCTTCAGGATTTCTTTTGAGAGGGAGTTGAACATAGTTGATACTTGAGAGTTTTCTGCAGTATCTGAATATGGGGCCACATCATATGTGACTCTACCAAAACCATGATGAAGACATGCTTCATACTTTGTCATGCCCATACCTTGCTCTCCAGATACTGATCTCTGTGAATGTAGCCAGGTCAGTCTGCAAAGATTGTGTGCAGATACAAGTCAGGAGATGGGACTTTGTCCCCAGAGTGATAGAAGAGAATTAACAAGAGTATTGACTCAGGATGTTGTTCAATCCTAATCCTAAAAGGCAAAAGATATAGGCACTTGTATGAGCACATTTAGTAATTCCAGTCAGGAGCATTCTTAGTATAGTTATATGAGATATCCATGTAGTATCTGTAAATTAAATTAGCCCAGTTATTTAGATTCAAGAGTGACATTTTGTACTAATAACTTTTTGGGGTGCAGTTCAAGTTCTGAGTTAAACACATCCAGTGAATGATAGCACAAGTCTTTTGCATATGTATATATATATATGTGTATATATATATATAAAATAAATTCTTTATCCCATACACAGAAATAAATGGATTATACTGCTCAGTTATACAACAGCATTCTAAAAAATTGCTTCATGAATACACTCTGTACCTAACTTAGTTTACTGTTTCATTAAGGTCTTGGCATTGACAACAGGATATCTTTACCACAGAGCAATTCTTCTCCATGGGATGACACACTTTTCAATATATCCATGCATGCAGCAATCCGACGAGGAAAATGGAAGTTACTAACAGGATATCCAGGTAACAAAGTAACTCCTTTTTGTGCAGTGTGTCATATCTCCCACCTGCCCCAAACACAGTTTAATTCTGTTTAATGTATTTTCATTTCTTTCAGTTATTCCGCTAAGTTCTCATATTTTTTAATCATGTGCAAAAATCTAGAAGGGGCACTTCTAAAATACAAGCAAAACAACATATTCTTTCATTTTGCAAATATTTTGTATACAAATGACCTTCACAGGAGTGGAAAAACTATTATAGAATTACAGAATGTCTCAAGTTGAAAGGGATCCATAAGGATCATCGAATCCAAGAAGAAAGTCCATTAAATTACTTGATACAAAATTAAGGGACATGGAAGTTTGAATACCACTGTTGCTGCTTTTTGTATAGAGAAGACCTTACATACAGATAGCTCTGGACTAGAGAGACTCTGGTGCTGGACTCGCTGGAGTTTGTCAGTAACAATTCTGCATCTCCACACTGCTGCTCCATTATAAAATAAATTCTTTATCCCATACACAGAAATAAATGGATTATACTGCTCAGTTATACAACAGCATTCTAAAAAATTGCTTCATGAATACACTCTGTACCTAACTTAGTTTACTGTTTCATTAAGGTCTTGGCATTGACAACAGGATATCTTTACCACAGAGCAATTCTTCTCCATGGGATGACACACTTTTCAATATATCCATGCATGCAGCAATCCGACGAGGAAAATGGAAGTTACTAACAGGATATCCAGGTAACAAAGTAACTCCTTTTTGTGCAGTGTGTCATATCTCCCACCTGCCCCAAACACAGTTTAATTCTGTTTAATGTATTTTCATTTCTTTCAGTTATTCCGCTAAGTTCTCATATTTTTTAATCATGTGCAAAAATCTAGAAGGGGCACTTCTAAAATACAAGCAAAACAACATATTCTTTCATTTTGCAAATATTTTGTATACAAATGACCTTCACAGGAGTGGAAAAACTATTATAGAATTACAGAATGTCTCAAGTTGAAAGGGATCCATAAGGATCATCGAATCCAAGAAGAAAGTCCATTAAATTACTTGATACAAAATTAAGGGACATGGAAGTTTGAATACCACTGTTGCTGCTTTTTGTATAGAGAAGACCTTACATACAGATAGCTCTGGACTAGAGAGACTCTGGTGCTGGACTCGCTGGAGTTTGTCAGTAACAATTCTGCATCTCCACACTGCTGCTCCATATCTGAGAACTGACCCTTTGTCTGTTTCTGTTTCTGCAGGCTGCAGTCACTGGTTCCCTCCACCATCTTTGTTTAATAAGTCAGAGATTGAATCATCTGATCCACCAACAAAGAGACTATGGTTATTTGATATTGTTCATGATCCTGAAGAGAAAAATGATTTGTCTGAAAAATATCCTCACGTGGTGGAAAAACTGCTCTCACGGCTTCAATTTTATCATAAGCGTTCAGTGCCCGTATTTTACCCTGATGAGGATCCCCACTGTGATCCAGCAGCAGCTGGGGCTTGGGGTCCTTGGGTATAGTGCACAGCCCTGCATCCTACAAAATAACCCTGTAGCAGAATCTGGTTTATAGATTCAAGGTCCTAGTCAAATATTTCTTACCTTGTTCATTAAACTATTGCTAATTGTGAGCACATTCCTGGAGTATTTCAAGTATTTCTGACTCTTAAAATATTTTGGGAATCTTATTTCAGTTTTTTCCTAATCTGTCCTTCCCAATAAATCGTATGAGAAATCTTGGTTAAATCTGTTTTCAAATATTCTTATCCCAGAATATGCTTTTAATGCAGAAGGTAGAACATTTCTTGTTGAAAACTCTCTTGTTGAAAGAGATTACATTTTTTAAAAAGCTGCAGTGAATCATGGCAGCGGTTACCCAGAATTCATCTATCTTGGGGAATAAACTGTCTTTGATTTCATGTTTGTTCAGAAGACAAAATGTATTGGAAGCTGTTACATATTTTAAAAAACACACCAAAACCAACAAACAACAAAACAACAAAAACAAACAAACAAACAAACAAAAAACAAGCCACCAAAAGCAGTGGACATAATACTTTTTGCTTTTAACATAGAATCATAGAATTGTTTGGGTTGGAAGGGAGTTAAAGATAATTTGGTTCTAACCCCCCTACATGGGCAGGGATACCTCCCACTAGACTAGTTTCCTCAAAGCCCCATCCAATCTGGCCTTGAACACTTCCAGGGATGGGCCATCTACAGCTTCTCTGGGCAACCTGTCCCAGTGTCTTACCACTCCCAGAGAAAAAAATGTGTTCCTAATGTCCAACCTAAATGCCCACTCTTCCAGTTTAAAACCACTTACCCTTCATCCTATTTATACATACTCTTGTAAAAAGTCCCTCCCCACCTTTCCTGTAGGTCCCCTTCAGGTACTGGAAGGCTGCAATAAGGTCTCCCTGGAGCCTTCTCCAGGCTTAACAACTCCACCTCTCTCAGCCTAACTTCATTAGGGAGGTGCCTCAGCCCTCTCATCATCTTCATGGGCCTCCTCTGGGCTTGATCCAGCAGCTCCTTGTCCCTCTGTTGAGATCCAAGAACTGGACACAGTATTCCAGGTGGGTTCTCACAAGAGCAGAGTAGAGGGCCCTGCTGGCCACACTTCTTTTGATGCAGACCAGGACATGGTTGGTTTTCTGGGCTGCCAGCACACATTAGCAGCTCATGTTGAGCTTCCTATCAAGCAACATCCCCAGGTTCTTTTCCTCAGGGCTGTTCTCAATCCATTCTCCTTCCAGCCTGTATTTGCACTTGGGATTGCCCCGACCCAGGTGCAGGACCCTGCACTTGGCCTTGCTGAACTTCATGAGATTGGCACTGGCCCACCTCTCAAGTCTGTCAGGTTCCCTCTGGATGGCCTCCCTTCCCTCCAGTGTGTCAACCACACCACACAGCTTGATGTCATCAGCAAACTTGCTGAGGGTGCATATGATCCCACTGTGCATGTCACTGACAAAGATGGTAAACAGCACTGGTCCCAGTACTGACCCTTGAGGAAGGTCACTTGTCACTGATCTCGATTTGGACATTGAGCAGTTCACCACAACTCTTTGAGTGTGACGATCCAGCCAATTCCTCATCCACAGAGTTGTCCATCTTTCAAGACTATGTCTTTCCAAGACCATGGCTAGTTTTTCATTCTTCCAGTCACTGCTTTTTCTTTCTGTGACTTCAGAGCTGTGGTCGGAGCACTTGGTGGTGAAGACAAAGGCAAAAAAAGTCATGGGGTACCTCAGCCCTCTCAATATCCTGTGTAACGTGGTAACCTGTGTAACCTTGCCTTCCATTCCACTTTTTCTCTACTCTTACTTTTATCCCCAACATACCTATAGAAACTTTTCTTGTTGCCCTAGATGTCCCTGTCCATATTTCTTTCTATCAGGGCTTTAGCTTTCCTAACCTGATCCCTGGCTGCTCAGACAATTTCTCTGTATTCCTCCAGGCTACCTGTTGTTGCTTCCACAATCTGTAGGCTTCCCTTTTATGTCTGAGTTTTTCCAGGAGCTCCTTGTTCATCCATGCAGGAAGGACTCTTGGCATTTTGGCCAGAATTCCTCTTCACAGAATCTCAGAATCATGGACTCTTAGGGGTTGGAAGGGACCTCGAAAGATCATCTAGTCCAACCCCCCTGCCAGAGCAGGATCACCTAGAGCACATCACACAGGAACTTGTCCAGGTGGGTTTTGAATGTTTCCAACAAAGGAGATTCCACAACCTCTCTGGGCAGCCTGTTCCAGTGCTCTGTCTCTCTCACAGGAAAGAAGTTTTTTCTGATATTTACATGGAACCTCCTATGCTCCAGTTTGCATCCATTGCCCCTTGTCCTATCACTGGACATCACTGAAAAAAGCCTTGCTCCATCCTCCTGACAGAGTCTGCAGCAGTAAAGAAAGAGTCATAGAAGTCATTCAGTGCCTCTGCCTTCTTTATATCCTCTGTCACCAGGGCACCCACCTCATTCAACAGTGGACCTATATTGTCTCTAGTGTTAGTTCTATCTGCAATGTATTTGAAGAACCCTTTTCTATTGCCTTTGACCTCACTTGCAAGGTTGAGTTCCAAGGAGGCCTTAGCTTTCCTAATTGCCTCCCTACATCCTCTGACAACAGTCCTATATTTCTCCCAAGTGGCCAGCGCCTCCTTCCATGATCCATAGGTTCTCTTTTTCCACTTGAGTTTGGCCAGCCGTTCCTTGTTTAACCTTTGTTGGGATGCGTTGCTTCTGGGCTTGGAGGAGATGATCCTTGAACATTCACCAGCTCTCTTGGGCTCCTCTCCCAGGATTTTATCCTATGGCAATCTATCAAGCATCTCTCCTCATTGGCTTCTTTATCATTTGGAGAAGGAGGTTATCATCTATGCATTCCAGGAACCTCCTGGATTGCTTATGCCCTGCTGTATTGTCCCTCCAAGAGATACCAGATCAGTTGAAGTCCCTCATGAGGGCTTGTGAACTTGAAAATACTCCTGTCTGTCGGTAGAAAGCCTTATGCACCTCCAACCAGAAAAGGAAACAACTGAAATCTCCCACAGTAAAAAAAACAACAAACCCTCTCCCAATACAGTGAAGTTCTGTACGCTTGTTCACTATTAGTGTATCAGACTGCAGTAGAGAGTGATGGTCAAATAGGCTGCAGGGCTGCCAGGCAGAGTGATCTTGACACTGAAAAAATAGATGAACAAAGACTTCACAAAGTTCAACAAAGGCAGAGTCCAGCACTTGGGTTGGAATAGCCCTGTGCTGGAGGACATACTGGGCTATGACCAGAGAGAAATCTAAGTGTCTTGCTGGACAATAAACAGAACAAGAGTTGCCTGTGCTTCCTTGATGAAGAAGACCAACTACATATTTGTCCATAGAAGCAAAAATGTAGCCAGCACATTAGGGGGAGTCATTATTTCCCTCTATTCAGTACCGGAGCATAGCATCACATTTTCAAAAGTATTCACAAATTGGAGTGAATATGGTCATCAGGAGGGTAGCAAATGAGGTGAGGCTAAAGAAATGGGTTAGTTTATGTTTATGAAACTGCTATCTTCAGCTACTTAATGCGAGGGCATAAAGAAGACCCTTCGCAGAGGTGCACAAAGATGAGAAGCACCCAGGGAACGTGAGGATTGTCAGTGCAATGTAAAAGAGAAAAATAGACCTCCACACCATGAAGTTAGTCAAATATGGAAATTGGAAGGTTATGGCATCCCTATCCTTGGTGATGTTCTGTTCTCAGCTGGAGAAGACTCTGAGCAATGTGATCTATCTCTGAAGTTGGATCAAATTTGAAGTTGGCCCTGCTTTGGTGTTAGGGATGAGGAACAACCCAGTGACCGCCAAAGGGCCCTTTTTACATTAATTATTCAATGATTCTATGTTGAACAAAACCTTAATTTTATTGCCTGCCTGGTGAGTAGTCTTTCTTCTCAGATACTGTGCTTTTGTTACCATAATAGAGACTGTTTTCATCCTGAAGTGGGCTCTGAGCCCTGAAGAAATCAGGCCAAGCAACATTTCTCAGTTACTCGTCAAACTGAAGCAAGAACAACCTACTAGATCTCTTAATGTCTCAAACCTCTGGAGTATGGCCAGAGTTCTGGTACTGCTTCTCAGTGTCCTTAGCCAAGTTCTCAGGCTTCAGAGCTCTAAATGTCATCCTCTATAGAAAGGAGGGATCAAATTTATTTTTTTTTCCTGGCTTCAGGACTGCCTCCTTTAAACTGCACTAAAATTTTGCACAGCTTTTCTTAGTTTTCCTTCAGGAGACTTGTGCTAATTGTTAGCAAACAGATTAATGAAGAGACAGACTTGACAGAATTCGTGCATTTTTAATAGAATGATAAAGAATGGAAAAGATGAAACTTATGAAAATTGAAAATGCATATAAAAATTAACAGAATTCCTGCTTTGTGACACAGCTGATTCTCTATTACAGTCTTAAATCTAGCTTGCCTTTTCCACCTCTGATGTTTTTCTATAAGTAGAAATTAAGCCAAATCTCTCCAGAAGCCTATGAATCTGTTTTTCTTTTTCCCGAACAGCCTCATGTTTCTGTTTATTTTAGTATTTTTTTTCTATTCTATTTTGTTCAGTCTCTTCAGCCTTGAAGATGGGGAAAGAAGAACAATAATTCAGGAGAAAAGAGTTCTCCCCTGGTGGGCAAATGTGTATTCTCTGTGGTTTCGTTGGATACGTTTTGGAACCCTGTTTCAGACTAGGGTTCAATATCCTTCTCCATTCATTCATCAGTGGCTGAAAGCAGACGGTTACAGCAGGGTATGACCAGGGCAAGCATATGTGATAAGCTCTTCATATTGTCCCTCACCTTCTAAATGACCACTCAGAGCCTCAGAGCTTTTTTCTATGCATTTAGTTGCCTTCAGTGATTTTTTTTTTTCCTCTTCCATGAGGATGCACAACCTTTCCACTGGAGTCCTTGGGCATAGTGCATTCAGCCTTACAGCCTTGTGAACTGTTGGTATGCACACAGTTGCTTATTTCCCCAGC